CTGCATATTTTTGAGACCTGTACTCAACTGGTCTTAGTTTCCTACTTAATTCATGCTTATTCTTGACCTTCTAGGCCAAAAATTTAGGATATGACAGACATGTTGTAATACAATATTGAACTTCACGCCTTTTACAAATTCCGATGTTCATTGAGTAGTTAGAAAATTTCAAATATTATATCCATGGTTCGAACGTCAAATAATTTAACCAAAACATACACCTTCTTAGCTATCAAATCATTCAATTTTGGGGATATAATTAGTAAAATATAAGAGGGTAGGTAGATTTACATTGGATTTAGATATGACCACAGAAATATGCGAAGGTACCTTTAGTTCTGTCACTCATCACAGAGTGTTCCCCAATATACTAATTATTTCTAGGGTCCTTTAGGCTATTGTTTGGGAATTCCCAAGAAGTTTCATGGTTTTTTAAAAAGAATTTATATTTTAAAAAGAGCAAGCATATGGCTATGATTTTAGATGGTTATATATGTGAAAGATAACTTTATGTTAACTAAATTATCGTGACCTATATTGTTTCTCGGGACTCGAACGTTAGACGTGAACGCTAAATTGATGTTCGTCGCACTCAAGTCTTCTTCTTCGTTTTTTTGCCAACATTTGTCGCACTCAGGTAGCCAAGTTGAACAATGTGATACTGAAATTATTTTCTATTATATTATGTGTATTCAGACCCAAAAACGATGACATCAACACAGTAATATAATAGTTCTCTTCGTTCTTATTTTACTCATTTTGAGAAGGCTTGGTATTATCTAATCCATCACTTTTACCAGTGTTTTCAATAGTCTTTTTTCATGCATATTTAAATTACCTTGAACCATTTTTTTAAACTATTTTCTCTTCAATAAGTCTCCCGCCAATTCTTTCTCACACATATATAAAACAAAACTATTTTATTTTGAATCTTTTTTTTTTTTGGGTACTCTGAAACAAGTTCTGCGAATTAAAAAACAGAAGATAAGTTGGCCGGAGACAGTGATGATGACGGTGACGCACTTCAACCTTTTGTTTTGATAATTGAATATTTGGGTGAAAATAAAATCATAATTTTAAAAGTAATTTTACAGTATACAGAGTAAATATATGATATTAATTTTATCTCAATTTATGTAAAAGTATTTTTTAAAAGTGCTTTTGTTATGATCCAGACAAATCTTTCCTGGTTAAAAATGTGGTTTTCAATCGATATAGTATAATATATTATTTAAACAAACAAATTATAGTCCAGCATTTTAAACTATTTAGTGATTCATTCTGCACTTCGATTTTTTTTTTAAGTGTATTTGGTATCTTAAAGTATATTATATTATGGGTGTAGCTAGAAAAATATTTCAGCTGAATGAAACCTTAACTCGTATAAAATTCATGGCTATGATAATTAATGAAATGAGTAAAATACATTGAAACTCCTCTATTTTATCTAAATTACACAAGCCTCCATTTTACTTTGAAAAGGTATACAAACCTTATTTAAAATTAAAATATATATCATATAAACCTCCAAGATTTATTTGTATATATAGCAGGCTATTAAGTTTGACTCTCAAACTCTTGTTTTGTCCAAAATATCTATTTAAGATAAGAATGATTTAAAAATTTATATTTACCAAAAAAAATCAAATACATATAATTTCAAACTTTTTAATATGATATGTTATAAAATTTAATAATTATGGTTATATTATAAAAATTATATATATATTTTGAGATCGCATTTATTGAAACTTAATTTTTAAGTTTATTTGAACGGCTAAGACTATATATTTCAAAACCCATATTTTTTTGATATAATATAAATGATGTAAGCTTTAGAGATAATATAAATTATTTAAATGTATAATTCAAAAATTTTAAACAAATTTTTGCTTCAAACATTTATTAAAGACTTTTAGTCAATAACATATTTATTGAATTAATTAAAAATTTGTCATGCGTATGTTATCTAAATTACTTAGATTTCTATCCCAATATGACAAAAAATTAAACAAATAAATATTTAAAAAAATTAAAATTAAATTAAGGAAAAAACAGAAATATATTATATTATTCAAAATAATTTTAGCCAAAATTAGAGATTTAATGTGATGAAGGAAAAAATTAATAAACAAATTTATTTGAATATAAATTTTGATTTAAAAGAATATTTCTTAAAATATTTTTTTGGATATGGTACTCACAACGTTGGACAATTTGACAACCTGCGGTAAAAGTGACAACTTTATTGGGAAACCAATACATTTAGTATACGTTAATTATAATTTAGTAATTTATAATTACAATATTTGTCTCACTTACTCAGTTCGTTTGAAATGGATATATATATATATATATATATAAAATATTATATACTGCTGTGTAATACTAAAAATTGGCCACAATCAGATGTCTCTAACGAATTCCAATGTTTACCCTAGACATTTTGTTTTATTTTTAAAGGGGACAACAACGGATAAGTATATAGCTCTGGTTGCTTTTCTTTCCCCTCCTCCTCCTGCACATTTTACGCATTATTATTTCATAATGCCTGCCATTTTTAATTAGTAAAATATTAGGCACTGCAGGTAGTATTTTCAAAAACTCAAATAATTTTTAGCTTTTTTTTTTTGCATTTTTTTATTTTTTATTGGGGGTTATTGGGAAATTCTTTCTTCTATACTCGATGTCTTGTTCTCCATTTAACAACTTGAGTTCTCATTGAAGTTTCATCATCTAATCTCAATATGTTTATTTTCAAATATAATTTTTTAGAACCATTATCTAAACATATTCTTTTGTTTTTTTCATAACTTTTTTTAAAAAAACAATCTTATAAACTTTTTTGACAAGAAAAAAATAAAAACAGAAACAAACAGGCCCAAATTTATTTCTAGAGTTTATCGCACTGTTGCAGGAGAAAAATTTTGTTTTTAAATACAAATCATTTATAGGGTAATTAATAATTTTTTTCCAATTTTACCCCTGTAAATAAAATAAAGAAAATAGATGAGAGAAAATGTACAGTATATATATATTTTTTCGGGAAAATTAATTTGGAGGTCTTTATAGTTTCTCTTAATTTTGAATCAGGTCCTTGAGGTTTTTTGTCTTTTTATTAGATCCTTTAACTTTTTATCATTAAATTTATGAGTCCTTGCCGTTAAAGAAAGCAAACACCGTTACATCTTTCTTCTCTGCCGTGCTTGAACTCACGGTTCCTGCTCAAAACCAAAGGAGCATCAAAAGCCAAGCAATCAATCCATTCATTCATAGCTCCTTCTAACTCGTATCTCTAGCATCCATATCCTTCCCGCCACTTCCAAGTTGGGCCTCTTCAGCTTCTCTCCTCCACTTTCCTCCGTAGAATCAGAAAGCATGGAGAGTTTGATAAGACCACATCAAACTAATCATGACTTTCACTACTAGACTCATCATCATCTTCAACAATATCATTAGTTTGATTCAAACTCTAGTTTCGCAAATGGATTTGGGACATGAGGGCTCTTGGACTGGCTCTCTTCATGCTCATTTTGTTCTCACCGTCGAGCTCCTTGGAGGCCATGAAAGTCCATCTCTCTCGTCTTCCTCTACTGATTCATTGTGTTGTCTCTTTTTCACGTGGGTTTGATGAACAAACTCGTTTCATCGTTAGAGTAGTGAGCCTTCTTGCTTTTCAAGAGATGTGATGTTGTAGAAGAACTGGGAAGCAACGATGAGATCGCAGGACGTTGAAGGTGTAACGGTAATTTTTAACAGTGTTTGCTCTATTTAACAGCAAGGACCAATAGATCTAAAAGTAAAAAGTTAAAGGACTTAATAAAAAGCAAAAAAAGCTCAAAGACCTAATTTAAAATTGAGGAAAACTATAAGGACCTCCAACTTAGTTTTCCCTATTTTTTTCCAATAACCTTCTTTAATAGGTCGGCAAACGTAGAAACTTTGATCAATTTAATTTGAGTGTTCGGTCATCTAATTAAACAATGGCCATTATTATCTAATTTTTATTAAGTACATCTATAGCCTCCAAGGTATAAAGATTCTTTAAAAAATAGATAAATATGAAAAACAAAATAAATTGGAGTTTTATATTTAGAACCAAATTAAAAGTCAAATTAGCTCTTATATTAAAAACAGGAGAGGATATTATTGAAATGTAATAATATTAGTACGGAGTCCAAAATTTATTGCCCTTCCTATCCTTTTTTAGAAGTCTCAGCAAGTGTTTTTGGGCCTAAATAAAAGATCATGCACGAATTTTCACGAATATTCAATTATCTTTTTTCCAAAAATATACTTTGCTTTGGAAATGAGGATAACCATGGGGAAAATGAATTCATAAAATAATTCAGTGACAGTTTTAGAATATATATATATATATATATATCATGAAAAAATTTTACATATTTAATGAGTTTTTAACATATTTTAACAAATTTTTTTAGTGGTTGAAAAACTCTTGCATAAAAAGGAGCAGAGTGAGTAATTTGTTCCAAAAAATTATGAAGAAAGATGCACGTACAGACCCATCCTCTTATCCATAAACTGCATAAATTTTTAAAAATCGTCAATTAATTTTCAAAAGTAATACTCAAACATATCTTGATCATTAAATAATACGATACACGTTTCCTTAATTCATCCCATAAACAAGGAAATATATATATATATATTCAGTGAATCAAAAAGATTTGGTAACACAGTAGAATTTGAGTCATCAAGCAGAACTCTTATCAATCAATCAAATCTTGTATTCAAAAGTAAGCCAATTACGTTAAAAAAAGACAAAATAACATTCAGGTCAACGAAACACAACGTTGCTTGTATTGAAAATTCAAACCACCAGGATACTGTCAAAAATTGTTTAATTTCCAACCAAAATGGTGATGACCTTATCCTCAGATCCAGCAAAGACTAATCCTGCTGTTCTATGACATTAGCCTACTGCTCTATCTTCCTCAGTTTCTACTTACTCTGTTAAGCTCAAGGGAAAAAATCTGATGGCTCTGAGCTTTGCTGTGACAAACGGAAGTGAACACAACAATGGCAAGATAACCTTGTTCGTTGTCTTATCTTGCATGATGGCTGCCATGGGAGGTGTCATCTTCGGCTATGACATTGGCATATCAGGTGAGTTTCTTGCTTTAAATAGAAACCTTAAATCTTTTCAACAAAGGTTACTCCGATAAGATTAACAGTGATTTTGAATGAAAAGAGTTTGGTTCTCCTCAAACAAGGTCCAATATTTGAGTCGTGTGTAAAAAATCAAGTTATGAGAGCTACCCCTGATTAGACATAATATTGTTTATATCTGACCTAATAGTATTGAATCCTTCATGAACATATTTTAAAAAAAAAAAAAAGAAGTTAATCCAATAAAGACTTAACTCATACCCTCCACAAGTGTTGGTTCAAGGCTTCGTGCTAATGTGAGGTGTCACTGAAATTGTCTTAACCTTGGTGAGTCCCCGGGTGAGTAGGTCAAACTCATGAATCTGTTACCAATGTCACAATATATGGCTGCTTTGATGAACTAAAAGGAATGAATATGAAGGTGGGGTGACTTCAATGGAGCCATTTCTGGTGAAGTTCTTCCCAGAGATATACAAGAAGATGAAGGAGGACACAGAAGTGAGCAACTACTGCATATTTGACAGTCAACTACTGACAACATTCACTTCATCGCTCTATGTGGCTGGGCTGCTTACTTCCTTCATAGCTTCGTATATCACCAGAGCTTTTGGAAGAAAGCCTTCCATTACTGCAGGAGGTGCTGCATTTCTTGCTGGTGCAGCCTTTGGTGGTGCAGCTTTTAATGTCTATATGCTCATTATTGGTCGCCTTTTGCTTGGTGTTGGAGTTGGCTTTGCAAACCAGGTAAGGTTTTATTGCGAAATTGTGAAGATTAATGAAGTAGGCTCCTTTTACTTATTTAATTAGAAATGTCGTTGGTTTTACTCCAAAGGGATGAGTACTGTTGCATTTTAAGTTCATTTAAACCCGAATTTGATTTTTCTGCTCTTTTTTGAAATAACACTACTATGCTAAATTGCAATCTCGACCCTTTAAAGAGGAAGATCAAGACACCCCCAAAAAAAATGACAATGGCAGGACCGGTACCCATAACAGAGTAAATAAAATAAGAAATTATTTTTACATTTACCCAATTTAATAATCAGGTTTAATTCAAGGAGATAAAATAAAATTCTCACCTTTTAATTTTTTGGGGCATATGAGGGACACATGCTTACATTAAGACTTTCTGCATCCTCATTTCCCTTTACTATGTCATACCTTGTGACTGATTTCTTCTAGATCCTACTCATATTAGAGTAAACTGTTTCTTTTGATGTATCATATTAACTTAGAAAATTCAAGTAGCAGCAAACTCCATGCTTCCCAGGAGATAATTACACATCCACAAAACCTCAACAACCTAGTTTAAACGACACAGTTGCTCAATCCTCAACCACAGCGAAGAGTCATTTGTAGTTCTCATGCTTTCTTAGGATTTAGTAGATTTGGCTACCACCTAACACCGACCATTTTCCCATGCTAAGAAATTCTTGTAATGTTTGCTCTGCAGTCAGTTCCTCTGTATCTCTCAGAAATGGCGCCACCAAGACTAAGAGGTGCAATCAACAATGTAACATCCTGAGTTTTTATCGGGTTTTAATAGCTTCTTTTGAGTTGATTTTGAGGATAGATTAGCAATTTAATCTTGATCTGGGTGTTTGGGTTGAATTTGAGGTATGTTGGAGGAATAGGTGAACATACCCCTCTCAGGGTATGTTCGCCGCGGCGCACCGGGAGTTTTAGAGGGGAGTGTCTTCTCGGGAAGGTTTGGCCACGGCGAAGTCTAGGGGATGCCGCGACGAAGTTGTTCAGGTGAGCGAGGCTTCCCTTTCGGGAAGGTTTCGCCGCGGTGAAGGTAGGGGTATGCCGCGGCGAATGTTTTCTGGGCGAGCGAGAGTTTCCTCTCGGGAAGCTTTCGCCGCGGTGAAGTCAGGTTTTCAGGCGAGTAATCCCTCTCGGGATTAGTTTGCTGCGGCGAAGATTGGAGTTCGCCGCGGCGAAAGGTCGCGATTCTATATAGTCGCGGGAGGGTTCAGCGTGCGAAAATAAGAAAATCTGAAGGAGGAGAGAGGAGCTCTGCTAGGGTTTCGAACTTTTGGCTTGGAGGGGGCATTTCTAAGGATCCATTACCTCAAGTAAGTGATTTTAACCTCTAATCTTCTTTCTTTCTTGGAATTTCTTGGAATTTCTGAGGATTTTTGGTGGAACCCTAGGTTTTTTTCTAAGTTGTGATGAAATTGAGGTTTTTGACCGATTGTTTTGAGTTTAATTGATTGCTTTGAGTTAGTTTAAGTGTTTAATCGGTGTAGTTTCCTTGGATTTAAAGAATCTTGAGTTTTTGGAGTTGGGGTTTATGGAAATGGATGATCTGGGATTGAGGATGATAATGTAGAGGTTGATTTTGAGTTTTGTGAATTGGGTTATGTTAAGGAAGGTTAAATTGGATGTTTAATCGGTTTAGATTTGTTGTTGGAACCTTAATTGCTCAAATGGGATGTTTGGATGTAGAATTCCTATAGTGGGTCCTTGAGGTTATGAATTTTAATTGATGTTTGGAAAGGAATTAAGGTTTTAATGGATTGGTATGACCATTAGAGTGTTGCCTTGATAGTTATACCCTTTGAGTTGGGTAGAGTTTTGATGGGAGATAGGAATTTTGTGTCCCCAAGTATTGTTTTGGCCACATTATTAGTTTGAAAGCTAATACATGATGGTTGTGTGTTTGTGTGCTTGTGTAGATCGGTGGTGAGTCTTGGTGGTGCACGGGGCCACATCGTTGGTTTGTTGTTCCTTGCTCAGGCGAGAGGTAACCACTTTCCAATCCTTAGTACTTGCTTCTGTGGTATTGTGAGTAGATTTATGTTCTGTACTCGAAGTAGTAATTATGTTCAAAGAGTATGTTGTGTATAAAAAGGAAAACCGTCTTGTGGGGTTTTGGTTGATGATGAATCTTGAAATTGTGAAGGACATGCCACTGAATGAAGTTGCTTATGAAATGTTCAATTACTATTTGATTATGATTTGAGCATGATGCATGACTTGGGAATTGGTGAGAGTTTTTGATAGTTACTACCACGTGGTAAGGCCTCCATTAATGCATGATGGTTGGCTTAGTACGTCCCCCATAGTGAGGGATAGGCCTTTTGGCTCCCTACGTCCCCCAGAGTGAGGGATAGGCCTTTTATGGCTCCTTACGTCCCCCATAGTGAGGGATAGGCCGGCTTCGACTCCTGAAAATCCCCCAAAGTGAGGGATTTGGTTAATGGGATTGCATCATTTCACTCGCATGATTTATTGTGGCTATCTTGTTATTATATTACTTGTGAACTGCCCCACTTGACACCTCACGAGCACCTATTTAGTAGTACCTAGTATTGGAAAGGTTGGTTACTGGGACTTTGTCTCACCCCGTGGTTTAAAATGTTTTCAGGTGAAGGTTCCGGGCGGGAGCCATTGGGAAGAGACGCAGAGGCTTGAGCTTGGTTAGCTTTAGGCCTCTAGCATTTGTATATGTATGGCTAGTATATATTGTCACATTTAGGACTGCTTTTTGATATATTTGATTACCTGGCCTTGTTGTAAACTGGAGAGAATGTATCTCCTTATTTTGGTTGGCCGGAGGCCATTGCTAGTGTTTTATGAACTATGGATTATTTGGTTGGGAATCATTTAGATGGGCTGATGTGATGTTTGTTGTTACCCGGGCCGGAGGCTCGAAGGCCCAGTAGATGTAAATGAATGATTTTTTGTTGTTGCATGCAACGGATTACGGGTTGACCCGAGTTTGAAAGTCAATTTCTAAAAATGTGAAATTTTCCTTTTACTATGGTAGCTCATTTTAACAGCTTTCCTTTTCTACCATAGTAGTGGTTTTGTGATGGGTTATAATGTTTAAAGGAGAGGGTTTTACAAACAACGGGTTCCAACTTAGCATTGGAATTGGAGCTTTGTGTGCTAATTTTATCAACTATGGCACAGAGAAGATCAAAGGTGGATGGGGTTGGCATATCTCACTAGCCATGGCAGGAGTGCCAGCCTTGATCCTCACACTTGGTGCACTTTTCCTCCCAGAAACTCCCAATAGCCTAATCCAACGCAATAAAGATCACCAAAAGGCAGAGTTAATACTTCAACGAATTCGAGGAACCGATGATGTCCAAACTGAGCTTGATGGTCTCATCAAAGCAAGTTCAACATCAAAAGACACTGATCACTCATTCAAGCTTATCCTGAAACGAAAATACAGACCTCAACTTGTAATGGCAGTAGCAATACCGTTTTTCCAGCAAGTGACAGGGATCAATGTCATAGCCTTCTACGCCCCTTTGCTTTTCAGAACACTAGGGTTAGGTGTAAGTGCTTCACTCTTGTCTGCTGCCATGACTGGCATTGTAGGCACCGGCTCGACCTTCATATCAATGCTTGTAGTCGACAAAATTGGCCGGAGAACCTTGTTTGCAATAGGAGGCATTCAGATGTTAGCATCTCAGAGTATAGTAGGAGGGATAATGGCAGCTTATCTGAAAGATAATGGAGGATTGAGCAAAGGGTATGCTTACTTGGTTTTGGTGATGATATGCATATATGTTGCTGGATTTGGTTGGTCATGGGGGCCATTGGGGTGGTTAGTACCAAGTGAGATTTTTCCATTGGAGATTCGATCTGCCGGGCAAAGCATCACAGTGGCAGTGAGCTTCCTCTTCACTTTCATTGTTGCTCAGACATTTTTGACCATGCTTTGCCACTTCAAGTCTGGGATTTTCTTCTTCTTTGGGGGTTGGGTGCTGGTGATGAGTGTGTTTGTGTACTATTTCCTGCCAGAGCCCAAGAATGTGCCTATCGAACAGATGCAAAAGGTGTGGCATGAACACTGGTTTTGGAAGAGAATGATGGATGAAGGGATTGAGAAGAGAGAACAAGAGAGTGGTCTCTGATGAAAAGTCTAGATCCAAGTTTTTTAGGCTCTTCTGTTATAATGAAAGAAAACAAATTAGTTTCCTTCATACACAATGCCCATCATGTCTCTCTAATTAATTACTCAACACTTTCTTCGATATTATTTAAAATTATATACCACGTCATAATAATAGATTGAGTGCTACATACCAAACCTATCCAACTGTCAAAATTAACTTTTTTTTTTTAATGACTTGATTTAGCTTATGTGAAAGAAAATATATAACTAGATTTTTCAAAGACTTAATACAATTTTTTGGGTCAAAAAGACTCGATAGAATTAGAGCAAACCTCTGCATATGAAAAATACGTGCAAATTACCCATGGACAAAGTCTTCAAATATTTAAAATTATTTAATCCTAATTTCATCCTGTCACTATCTCCGTTCCTTTTGCATATTCAGGTCACATCTTTAATTTCTTAAACATAAGCGACAATTTTTTAATGAAAAGTTTGAGAAAAATTAAATTTCATCTTTAAATATTTACCAAGAACAAAGTCCTTATGACGATAATGTAATGAAATATGGACTTGATCATTACACACACACACACACCATTTATTCACTCGATATTAGTCTATCATTTTCCTTGTGGGTCAATAAAAGGATTATTATTTATCTAATCGCTTTATATACTCTATCTATCATGTACTTAATATAAAAACTAATTTGACTTTCAATTTTGTCATAAATATAAAACTCCAACCTACTTTGTTTTTTATATTTTTTTTAAAAATCAGTCCTTCTTGTAGTTGCACATATCAAAGGTTATATCAAATGATAGTTTTAAGTAATACACATGATTAGTAAGGGTATTCTTAGAAAAAAATACTATTACAAATAACTAACTTAATTAATTTTCTTAATCTCTTTAAATTAGTTAACCATATCTTATATCAAAGACAGAGGGTAGTATATATATCTTATAAATTAGAACATTTATACATATATATTTTCAGTCAATTTTTAAGTTCAGAGTAAATCTTGAATTTATTAAAAAAATGATAAAAGAAAAGGGCATATTAATTTGAACAGAGTAAAAGGCGGGGTTGTCGTATTCCCACTAACCGTCAAAACCGTCACTGCTGATAGTGGGGGGCAACAATCAACTGCATCCCCGATTAAAACAACAATCCAGTAATACTCCGCCACGTTAGCATTTACCAAAGGCCCGAATTTAACGGGTCCCACTCTTTCAAAATGGACCAATACAAAGGCAAGTGTTTCGTGATTCTGTAAAGCGAATAACACACACGATCATAACATCGCGAGCACCATTTCATAGTGTTACATACACCCATGAAACAAAACAGAAGCCACTTTCAGAGAGACAATTGTTGAGAAAGAGAAGGAAGAAGCTTTGGGTTTTCTTGTGTCTTATAGATGAAACTGAGAGGCTCAGAAATATTTGCGGAAGAGGAAGAAGATGGGGAGAGAGAGTTTGGTGGAGGAACATATATAAAGAAAGGACCATGGAGTGCTGAAGAAGATGAGATTCTGATGAAACATGTCAAGAAAAACGGTCCAAGGGACTGGAGCTCCATTCGATCCAAAGGGTTGCTTCCCCGGACCGGAAAATCCTGCCGGCTCCGATGGGTTAACAAGCTTAGACCCAACTTGAAGACGTACGTAAGAAGACAGACACCATTTTTGTGGTATCTTTGTTCTCACATGCACATGAACCTTCGAGTGTTCTACGTTGTTGTTGCCTTTGTGCTTACTGTCTCTCATAATACTGAAAACTTCCTCTTCTTCTTCTTCTTCTTTAGATAGTGGCAATGAACTATGAAGTAAAGTTCTATTTTAATCATGTCCTATCTCGTATATTTGAATCTCTTAGTGTTCGTGCTTGTGAGTCTTATGTGGTATCTGTGAAACGTGTCTGGTAGGCGAGAAAATATATTTTTGGTTTAGATTAAGCTATTCGTTTCAATGGTGCTGTGAATCATCTCCCTACTTTAAAACCAAACTGATATTCTATCTGCAGTCACCCATATAAACGCAGACTATAAGTTGATATATACTCGTTATTTAATCATCACATGTCCCAGTCCTATCTTGTGTATGTGTGTGTGTGACTTTTAAGAGAGTGATTATATAGCATGTTTGTGTTTTTGTTTGTGGGGTGTGTGCTGAGTTCAAATTCACCACATGTGGTGGGATTTTATTAGTCCAATCATAAATAGAAGATCTCAGTCATTGGGTTCTGTAAAGTAATAGTGGGATTAAGATGCATGGGCTAGACTGAATCTATGGCGGTGTTTGTTTGGAATTTCAGAGGGTGCAAGTTTTCAGCGGAGGAAGAAAGAGTGGTGATAGAATTGCAGGCACAGTTTGGGAACAAGTGGGCGAAAATAGCGGCTTACTTAGAAGGAAGAACAGACAATGATGTGAAGAATTTCTGGAGCAGTAGGAGAAAGAGGTTGGAGAGAATGTTGCAGAAACCATCTCCATCATCATCATCATCATCAAAGCCACACAATAATAAGAACAAAGCAACATCTCCTATTCATCAGCCACAACCAGTAGTTGAAGAGGTATATATTTGAGGCAGAATCATGTACATGTTGAAGATCTAAGCGTCTCTGATGATGATATGATTCTAACTTAGAAGTAAGATTGTGAATTTCAGGTTCCTTCATGCAGTTCAAATCATGTGGAGCAAAACCCATCAGGAAACAAGTTTCTGATGGTTGGTGACACTAAGGAGTTGAAGTTTCAGAATGTGAAAGCAGAGGAAGCCACTCCATTTCACATGGTTCCATCATTTGACTCTTCGTCAGAGTACACTTTTTCTCAGGTACTTCTTCCTGATGACTCCCACCACCAAGTGGATGATGGCCTGGTCTGCCATGGCCTGCTTGATCCGGAGCCGTTTGATGCCGCCTTCCTTGACATTTTCGAGCAGCACAAGAAGCCAGGTCTTGCGTTGGGAGGAATTGCTCAGAGTTCAATTCCACCAAATGGCTTCTTTGAGGACTTCCCAAGTGACATATTTGACTATTTTGAAGACCTTCCGAACTCGTCAGAAAAATGAACTCTTCAATTGTCTCTCTCTTAACTCTGTTCCAATTTCAATGCCTTATGTGTAAGTTCAGCCCAAAATGCTGTGTTGTGCTGCAAATGGCCTAATATAAGCTTGCTGATTTGACAACTGATAGACATGTTTTGGACAACTTGAATTTAGCAACCTGGATGCATAAACCATCATTTCAGCGATATCATTTCTCTCGTGTCTAGCCTTTTTGTTGCATCCTCAGCTTGATTTCTCTGCTTCTTTGCAATGATATAAAAAGAAAAATCTTTTGCTATAGAAAATTTAACTTTTTGAAGAAAATACAATCCCTCACTAGAAGTACGGATCCTGAGATAAAAAGTTGTGAAGAAGGAAATCAGGAAAAAAAAATTAATATGAAGTTTCAAAGGAAAAATGTAAATCCAAAAGACTCCCACAATAAGTTGGGCGTCTTAAGGTTCCTTCATTTGATTCCAGTTTTAAAGGTTATGTTAGTGAGGATGTGACTTAAATCATTCCTCTAATTTGTGCCTCCATTAAGTGACAAGTTTTAATATTAAAAACGAACTCGCTTGTTTGAGACTCTGATTATATTCCTAAATAAATGGTGCGAGACCAGAGTAGCATGTCCAAACATATAAGGCATGTGTTCCAATGTTTATAACGAAAATATGAAGAGATTATTTTAGGCAATACCTCGTTGCCATTGTAAATGTCAAAAAATTAAAAAAAAAAAAATACATAACTTTCTTACATCTTTGTTTTCAAGTTCTCTACTCAGAATAATATAATTTTCTAATAAAATCATGACAAGTCCATGACCAATGCAAATAATTACGGTCTTCAGATTACATCGCATGCGCATTATTTGGAACGCATGCATCGTATGGACATACACATCTTTCTGGTAATAATCTGGAAATCCAAGTCAAGATATAAATGACAATCCATGTTTATTAAAAGGTGCACCAAATAGACCGTTATTATCAGCTAAAATCAGTCGCTCTATTCATTGACTATGAACAATAATCACATATCATTATCAATCCTAGAAAAAAAGCCACGATAACACCTCAAAGTGATGTATTGTTCAGGATAATCAGTGCAATTCTCCAATTTCTCAAGCAAGACATACATGAAAAGTAGTAACATCCCTTCCTTTTTATTCCTTCTTAAGTAAAACCTGCACAACTATAAACAAAAAAGACTATGAAACTCCAGACTGGAAACAAGAGAACTAAGAAAATCTGAATTACTCCATCACTTCAACTCCACACCAGCATCCAAAATCCTTCCCCGGACTGATGATCTTCATCCAACTTCAAAAATATAGCTTCTAATTTGATGATCTTGACCAGCTTGGGGAGGAACTTCAAGGTTGAAGGAGGGGGAAAACAAAAACAAAAGAAGCTATGATATTCACATCATTGAATCCGGTGCAGAAGGAGGAGGGCCAGTGTTTTTCATCTCCACACTGTTTCATTCGCATCGGTGAAAATTGCATTATGATGTTCGATGAGGTATTGAACAACCTCTATCGCAGCAAAGTCAACTGGAGTGCCATCGTCCAAAGGAATGTGAGAGGATGCATCCATGCCTTCACCCTCATCTGCAACACGAGATTTAAAATAAAATGACAAAAAGGCCATCTCTAATTATAATTAATTCCACACACCATATATTTCATAAGAAAAAGGCATTTTGATATAAGCACCAAAGAAATTAAGTGTTAAATTAACTTTGTGACATAAGATGAGAATGCAATTTTCAGAGTCGACATGATTCAAGTATTACAATTCTTCATGTAGATTTTTAAATTATCCGCCTGATGAAAGAAGAGCCTATGTAAAACCAGTCAAATAGACAAGCAATATTAAATAATTAAACCTGACTCATATTTTGGTTAAAGAGAAAAACTTATTTCGCTTGCTTACACAATATTTTCAGTAACATGCAGAAAGAAAAACTAGTTCATGAAAAAATGCGTGAATTATTTAATCTCTATGATCACTAAAAATTCCCATAGCTTGAGACGAAACCCCGCAACAGTATCACAAATATATTAATCTAAGCATTCTCCCCTCCCTAATATCTGTAGCTTGCAGTAAGACTTGATGCATCTAACCAGCATTAATCTGCTTCAAACATGTAAGACTAGTTTTGATATCTCATCTCCTTAAGCCAAGCCATACATTAGTTGCACTGTCAATTATAAAACTTACTATCTGTTTCAGATGAATATCACATGCCAAGGCTGAATTCATCAGGGGTGGTTTCATATTATATAACTGGAATCCTTATAGGTATAACCATAAATAGGCTATTGTAACATTTTCAGTCAACTCAATTAGATTCTAGAGGAAGATTTTTGTTTGCAACATCTGACTCACCATTAAGCATGTCCCAGGAAGCACCAGGTGGTGGATCCAAGCTCTTGTTAGAAGGACGTTTGGACAATTGATTCCAATAATGACGATACAATTCAGGATTCGACCCCTTTTGCCACATAATAACAGGTGCCATTTCCATAGCAAGGCTGTGAGCATCCATCTGCATAAAGTCAACAGTCATGAGCATGCTCATCAGATGGATAGTAGCATCTAAAAGCTGGGAGAATTTACTGGATGTCAAACACTCCAGAAATGATAAACCATTCGTATAATCATATTACAGGGAGAAACTAAGACTGCTAACTATCAAAATGGCAAGTAAATCATGCATCTCAGAAACTAGTTCTATTTCCTTCACACTTTTAGACCGATGAAAGTTTGGAGATCATTGAAGAAAAGGCTAGAGAAACCAACCACAAGAAATTCTCCGAGAACTGCAGGACAAAAAAGATAAAACGAAAAAATATACTGCAATCCTTGCGTAAATCAGAAGCCAAAACACTTAAGAAGAGCATTAACAGAAAGGACAGGGCTAGCAAATGACACTATTTTGAATAAGATCAGAAGATATATCAGTTACTCAAAATTCTGGCATCCTGCTCCTGCCAAATACACCACATTCTCTAGCCACCAACGTACAATATCTGTTTGCTGTTGGATGGGAGAATTTTTTTCTGTCCACATTGGATGGAAAATTAGCCCAGTGCAGAGGGTAAATTCTTTCAAGCATATTTAATGTGTTTATTTTGAAATAGGATTGTCTCCTCAGAACCTGTGGTTTATAGTGAGTAGTGTTCCTAGGATAATACCATTGGCAGACATTAAGAAAACAATATTAGCAACTTCAAAAGAAGAAGAAAACAACATAAGAACAGAAGAGTAGCAGTATTTTAGAAACGGAAAATTGTGATCCGCTTCATACTCTGAAGAAAATAAACATAAGTTTGGTGCTAGTTAAGAAATGTCTCACAAGTGTTCTTTTTCAGTCTATTAACAGGATTTCACAATAATATAAAATACCATTCGCTGACATTACCCACCACGGATTCCTATGCACAAGGCAACAAAATAGTCAAGTGCACATCCCAACACACGTAAGACCCACTGTTTATCCCACAGTCAGACAAACACAAAGAAAGGGGGGGAGAGAGAGATATCTCCTGCCTTATTGAGTAGTGACTTCTGGCTCACACGAAGGAGCAGTGCGGTTACATACTCTAGAGTCATGTAATTTACACTGGGGAGCTTCTTCAGTATGTTTCTCATGGAATGCACACTGGATCGAGCACATTTTATCTCATTATAAAGCTCCAGTGTGGTAAGGGGCTCAGGAAGGCTAGCAAGATAATATTTGACAAGAGCTGCTACATCAACTGGGCTTGTACCTTCGGGTACTGATGCAGCTAAATCTGTAACAGAATGGTAACAGCAGATTTCCATCATCCATATGTAAAAGTTACGATAAAAAAACAATAGCTACCAGAAGGACTTCAGCACCTTGGTTATATAAGGAAACCAACTGTTGAATAACCTTTTTATCCCCTTCAGATTTAAAGAGATAGGGGGAGTTTAACCCTACAAAGAATGAGTGAAAAAAGATTATTGAAACAACAACAAAAGTGCTGATTTATTGTAGAGCCTTACTCTCAAACTACCTACCTGACAGTATAAGATAATCTGCGCATTTGACCAATATCTGAGGAACAGGTCGGCTAGATTCATGCCTCTGTACAGTAATCTCAATAGGAACTCCAAATACTGGGCAAAAATAATTAAGTACCATAATACAGGCTGTCAACAATAAAATAATCTAAAATACAGCATGATAACAAAGTGTTCTAGACATGGCTGATAGAAACAATCAAATTAGCCATTGAAAAGCCATGAACATGGGAAAAACTTACCATCAGTACTTGCAACTCCCTGCAAAAGAAAATTTAGATTAATTTTTTTTAAAAAAGTTGATGCATAATAGTAAATATATGGGACGGTCAGCTAAATGCCAATTACCTTCTGCCATCTTTCGATGTCAGTCAATATTGTCTTGCTCTTTTGCGCTGTTTTCTTTGCAACCTAATATGCATAATCATGATGCCAAACAAATAAGACAAAGGTAGGGGGAAAAAAAAATCTAATCACCAATTTAGTGCTGGGAAAATTACCGAGATGATATTCATGTAGGACCAGCAACTACTGGATTGAGAGAATGACAGAGAAGAGTGGAAAGAAAAAAGGATAGATGGTTTTCAACAAACATTCCATTTAACCAAAACCAAATACATGAACAGCTTCAAATAAAGCCAACAGAGAACTAGAATGCCAGCCTAAATTTAGCCCACCACGTGAATATGATCAATTATCATAATCGCCCTTCCCAGATTCAGAGTTCAATTTCAACACGTTATGCAGAAGTTGGAAAGGAATCTAACCATCTAAATTGTCTCGTGACCTTTACAGGCTAGACGGGGGTTATACTTTGCCTAAACTTTTCTCTAAAATATTAAAAGCATGTGTACGTTAGCATAGCATTTATCTTCCCAACAGCAAGACTAATTCAAGCAAGCAGAAACAGATTATCAGTTTCAATAATGAAGATTTCAGAGAAGGAATGTTTGAATTGGTCAATGAGTA